GGTAATGGGCACCAACTTCAATGGGGAGTATTGGGGGGCCAAAGCTCGAAAAAATTAGAATCTCGGAGATAGCATGCGTATGTGCTGGGGTCGTCTGCTGGAGGCTTACGCACTTTTTCTATGCGAGTCACCTGTGTAACAAACTTGTCGAGCTCATTTCTCTGAAACAGAGCGTTTGACAATGAAAATGGTGATGGCTGAATATGTCCGGCTGAGAATGAGGCACCGTTCATGCTACTCAATTTGCCCCTTATCTTGATTATTTCATAAAATACAGGCCAAGAAGTAGGCTCGTTCTCGCAGAACGTCGGAACGAAGACTCGGGGGCTGAAAAAACTGAGGGCAAGAAACCCTCAGCATACCTTGATTAGTCCTAATCAACTGTTCTGGAAACGCTATGTCCATTGATGGACCCAGAAATTCCCTGTTTCTGATTTTAAACATATATTTTGCGGAGAATCTCTCCTCCGCTAGAGATGGATCTATTTCTTCAGGATCGCCTCAGTTTTTGCTAAATTAATCGTTGAAACTTTCCTCGATTCTCCCTCCACCCTGCGATGATGTTGAAGACAACTAACACCTCCGGTTGAGGTTGTACAATGACAGCGAAAAACGTACGGCTTAGCGGACGATTGGGAGGGAGTGGTTCACCCAACGATAAACTTTTTAGACGGTGCTGTCGTCCTGTCGCAGCATTGTGAATGAATGAACGTGTGTCTATCGCGTTGGGACAAATCATTCCAGAATGAAGAGCTCTCTTTTTCGAGTGCCGCCGCCCAGTGATGGTCTCGAAAAGGAGGATAAGGGAAGCCATCCTTACAATGCCGAATCATGATCATTCTAAGGTTTCGACATTCCATTAAGAACCTCATTTTATTGGTCTTCAACTAATTCATCCACATCATCGTCTAGATGCGGATGCGCGGCCTGGCGATACTCGAAAAATCCTCCATCGGACATGCAATGATTGTTCCTTGAGATCGGCAATATGAGATCTCATCGAGAGAGCAGATTATGTAGCAGCGTTTCTTCTAGGCGGACATGGTCATGGAATCTAATGTACCTTTCATACGCATAGTCGCGATGTTCTTTAATCCTTATATCCTCCACGAGGAAGTGTGGCACTTGGTCACGTACCGGTTGCCGTCCGAATTGCGGGTTGCCAAGCGGAAAACGACGCCGCACTCGGTGCAGATATCGGACCGTATATCCGATTGAAGTTTGTCGGTTGAGTAATAAGGTGATTTTGATGCCATTCGTCAACATTTCTGAGTTTGGAGAATTTGCCGAAGTCTTCGAAGGCTGCTACCGACCGAATCCCGTTCCCGCAGTTGAGTTCTTTGATCTCGCTTTCCTCAAATTAAAAAAGCGTTTTTTGAACAACGACCAGAGGAAATCTCGTGATACCCTTCGTCGACCAGAGGGTAGTATCGAGAATCTTTCGCAGATCTTCGAACTCACGGAACTACGTGCTCCGTGTTCACGTAGTTCTACGCCCACATACCGCCTGAGTCCCTGACTCGGGCACCCCGGGGATTTTTTTTTAGGGCACTTCCTAACAAATCACTGATCGAACGAGGTAAAGAGTGTCAAGGCGGCAAGATGGCCAAGGAGAGACTTTCTATTGCCTTATGTTGTAGTGCCACCGGGGAGAAGTTTCAACCCCTGGCCATATGGAAAGCTCTGAACCCTCGATGTTTTAAAGGACACGATGTGAAAAGGCTCGGTGTTTTCTGGGAGGCGAACGCTAAGGCTTGGATGACAACCAGCATTTTCGAGAGCTGGCTCTCGAAGTTTAATGCGCATATGGAACGGCAAAACAGAAGAGTTCTGCTCATGCTCGACAACGCACCGTGCCATGGACGTCGCTCTCTGAGTCACGTTGGGCTCCTCTTTCTTCCGCCCAATGTAACGAGTGAATTGCAACCACTAGACCAAGGCATCATTCAGGCGTTCAAACTGCAGCATCGGGGTCTGATGCTCGAATGGATCTTGTCAAAAATGGACAATTGTCTGACTGCTACTGAGCTTTCGAAGAAAATTAACGTCCTCGAGGCTATTCAGTGGGTTAGTCGAGCATGGAAGAGCGTTAAAGAAGAGACGATTGTGGGATGCTTCCGACGTTGCGGAATCAAAGATGATGC